ACCCACTCCATTGTCAAACTCGTGCTATTCCCTTCAGGAAGGTTTCTGCTGCCCCTCACCCTCCCTGTCTGGGTGCTGTTCTTCATTATCTCACTTCCTTTTTCCATCAAAGCCTTCCATCCTCATTACACAGATTGATGCTGTTTGAACAGCAAAGAATCCCACGGAGAAGGGCACCTACTGCTCTCTCTGGATTCCCCAGGGACATCAGGTGGCTTCTCTGGAGCCTTAAGCAAAACCACCCAAGGCCTCTGGAATTTTTTTCTTGCCCCAGCTCTCAAAGTAATGATCTACAGCCCATCGCTCCCCGCACCACCCCCCACGCAGTTCATTCACATTCCCATAAGAAAACCAAACTCTGCAGAGCATCAATTAGAAGCAGAGAGGAAAGGCAGTGTTTTGAGCAGGCTGGCTTCTTCCCAAGCTAAATACACTTATGTAAATCTGACTGCATGGCTGCCCGGCCTGCGTACGTACCAGGGCGCCCAGCTTTTCCGGAGTTAAGCTTTTGTTTACCCACTGTCGAGTGGGTATTTCCCAGGCAGCCTCTCCTCCTCCCGTGGAGCCTGGCTGCAACCACCCGACCTCCCACCCAGGCAACCAAATGTGACATCAAAGGAGCCCCCGGAACGGCCATCTGTCCCTGCCATGCCAATGTTTATGCAATGTGGGCAGCAGAGGAACAGGTCAGGGGAAGGCCCAAGGGTATCCTGTAGCATCAGACCCAAAGCACCAACACCCCAGGCCGAATGTGCCACAGAGCAGGAAGGCCAGGGTCCTCAGTCTAGCTGGAGGGTCTCTTGCTTCAAAAAAAAGAATAGAGACTATTTAACATTCCTGAAGAACCAGTTTGGTAAATTCACCTGTGGATGAGTGTTTAGAAATAAAGTGCAATCCCTAATTTTGCAGGTTTTCAAATATTACCCTAAAAGTCATACCTAAACATGGTCTTTCAGCAATAATAACTTTAATAAATTCATGAAGTGCTAAGAGGAACTGGCCAACATAGAAAAAGTATAGATCAGAAGTGACCTCAGGAATCTCCAAATTCTAGAGTTAATGTGACTATTAGACATCTCCACCTAATCCCCTCTGTTCATATCCAGAACCAAAGGCCAACAAGCTTTGGGATAGTCATGGGTTTAGAAGTCACAGAAAATGCAGTTCAAACAGAGACAGCTAGCAATTAGAGAAATGCAAATTAAAACTACACTGAGATTTCATCTCACTCCAGTCAAAATGGCAATTATCAAGAATACAAGTAACAATAAATATTGGCAAAGATGTGGGGGAAAAGGTCCACTCATACATTGCTGGTGGGACTGCAAATTGGTTCAGCCAGTATGGAAAGCAGTATGAAGATTCCTTGGAAAACCAGGAATGGAACCACCATTTGACCCAGCTTTCCCACTCCTTGGTTTATACCCAAAGGACTTAAAGTTAGCATTCTACAGTGACACAGCCACATCAAGATTTACAGCAGCTCAATTCACAATAGCTAAACTAAGGAACCAACCTAGATGCCCTTTATCAGCGAATGGATAAAAAAAAAAATGTAGTACATAAACACAATGAAATATTACTCACCCTTAAATAAGAATGAAATCATGGCATTTGCCAGTAAAGGGATGGAACTAGAGACTATCATACTAAGTGAAATAAGCCAATTCCAAAAAAAGAAAAAAATCAAAGGCCAAATGTTCTCTTCTATATGTGAATACTAATACACAATAAGGCGGGGGATGGATCGGGGAGTGGGAAAGAACAGAAGTACTTTAGATTAGACAAAGGGAAATGAAGGGAAGGGAGAGAAGATGGGAAGAGGAAAGACAGTAGAGTGAACCAGACATAACTTCCCTGTGTTCAAATATGAATACATGACCAGTATAACTCCACATCATGTACAACCACAGGAATGGGAAGTCGTACTTCATGTATGTATAATATGTCAAAATACATTCTACTGTCATATATAACTAAAAAGAACAAATAAAGGAAGAAAGAAGAGAAGGAGGAAAAGAAACAGAAGCGGCATAATGTGGTCAGCTGGACTTAGGAGAGAGAATAGACAGGTGTGAGGTGTGGTCATGCACATCCACCCTCCACATCCATTTCAACCAACTCAGATTGCAGATCTTCATAAAGTATGCAGAAAAAGAAAATGCATCCCTACTGAACACATACAAGCTTTTTTTCTCTTGTTGTCATTCTCTAAACAACACTGTATTCAACATTCTTTACATAACGTCTCTGTTGCATTAGGTCTTAGAAGTCATCTAGAGATGATTTACAGTACACTGGAAGATGTACATACGTTAAAACAAACACTGCAGCATTTTATATATTAGAGATTTGAATGTCCACGTATTTTGATAACCAAGGGGGTCCTGGAACCAATCTCCCTCATACCGAGGGACACTGTATTATGTTGGAGAGTACTTGTTAGGAAGCCAAGTGCATAACAGGTGCTCCTTTCTTTCGCACCCTCAGTCCCAGGCTAGCCCTCTTTTTACTACCTTAGGATGGGAATAACACAGTGGACACAATGTCCAAGTGGGCAGGAGCAGAAGGGGACTGCCGTGGACTGTGGGGGTCCTCAGCTGAAGCTCAGCACTAGCCCCGCTGAGGGATGTCTTTGTTACCCTCTGGGATGGGGGGATGCTGGACACTCCCCTTCATTTCATTCGCATGGAACTTGTTCAACCTCGGCCCCAAGCATTGGAAGAGGATCCACATTATTCATCACATAAATCTGCTTCGATTCCCTCCGGGGAAGATGGCCTAACTCCCGTGCCTGAAGCCAAGGGATGATACATCCACTCTATGATTCAGCTCCAACAGCTGCAGTGCGAAAATACACACAGGCTCACACCAAACTGGGATCACAACTCTCAGGTTTACCCTCACTTTTGTTTTTTAGTTTGGTTCTTTGGCCTTGTTATCTGCCTTCGTTCAGAGAACCTGGAAACAACCCTAACATTTTCTCTGGGCACCTCTGACCAGGCTTTAGTTGATCCCAAAAGATTCCCGAATGCTGGCTGTGGTACAAGGCACCGCGGCAGCTCTCACGGATGTGCCACCCTGCTGGGGAAGGGAAGATATGGGAGACAATGTCTGACAGGTAACGCTGGTTCTGGGGTAACAAGGACAGTGGGCTGGAACAGAGTAGAAAGACAGCGAGGAGCGGGTGGACTTGAGATGACCTTGAGGAGAAGTAAAACCTCAATCAGCAGAAAGCTGGTGGAAGGCTGCTTCCAGGAGAAACCCAGAAGGAGAGAAGCCAGGGGGAGTGAATCCACGAGGCTATCCAGCCACTCACCGAGCAAGCCTTCAGCCACAGTCCAAGGCAGACACTAGAATCCATGCTGAGGCAAATTTAAAGAGAAGGGCGAGCAGCCCCCACTGGAGGAACACCCTGGAATACACTGGTTAAGTGAACAGGCTTCCTGGATTCAGATCCTAGCTGCCCCCACCCCCACTTCCCAACTCAGTTGCTCTGGACAAGTTACCTAAGCCAGGTGAGAAGTCGTGTTTACCTGACCTATTAGGAAGCGTTTCCAGAGAAAACAGTTGGGATGGGAGGTGGGTGGGACACTGGACAGAAGGAAGTCACAGGGGCTCTCTGGAGACAAGACTAGTGAACCCTTGGAGTCCTCCTGGAATATGTGCATCCTCCTCATGGTTGATCCTTACTAAGGATGTCCTGGGGGTACAAGGATTCCCAGACACTTGGTCAAAGGGGATCCAACTCCTGAGGCCAGTGCTCCTGGGGTGAGAAAAGAGGAGCAGGGGTGTCAGCACTTGGTGGGGGGCAAAGGGAATCCCAGGGGCAGGGACAAGAACATAGAGAGCATGTGCTAAGAAGGGTTAATTCTTGCTATTGGTATTATTATTCCCACCTCTTTAAAAGAGCACAGAACCTAATCGTGATCACACAGTGTGATATAAATGGGGGAGAGAGTCCTCTATCAGCCACTGTGAGCATTCAGAGAGGAGTGGCCGGGGCTGGGCTCTGCAGTCTGGCAGGCAGAGCAACAGGCAAGACTGGAGGAACAAGTTGCAGCAGGAGCCCTGAGCAGGGCCTGGAATGCTGGGTGGGAAAGCTCAGAGCTGCAGGGGTCAGGCCTCAGAAGGACCTGCTGCGATTCTGGCTCCTATTTTGTGTAAAGTCTGAGCCAACCAGCATTTTACCAAAACCTGGTTCATGTCAAATAATGCCTCAGTATACACCATTAATAAGATTGGTGGGTACGTTCATGGGAGGAAGGCAAAGTTGAAGAGAATAGCAACTTCTTAGAGCCTGAAGTCCCCTTGGGTCTAAATTATTCTCCCCCTGTGAAGTAAGTGGGTGATGTCACTATCCCCATTCACAGCCAGCCCTTTCTGCTAGACTCTGGAGGAAGCGGAGAAGATCTCTTCACAGTGTCTTTCTCCTTGGAAGTGATTGTGAAAACACATGTTTATCCCTTGGTCCTTTCTGCAGAAAACCCCAGGCTTATTCTGCAATTAAAAGGTCTAGTTTGACCACAGCAATGAAACTCCCATGAATGTTCCACTTTACCCAAACCCACTTTGCAGTGGAGATAAAGGTTCACCCTCTCTCATTAAAAATAACATGCGCCCACATGCAGAAGCCCCTCAGCAAGCTCCTTCTGATGCCAAGTTTCCCCCACTGCAGTCCATTTCATTCCTTCTTCCTCTTTCCTAGTATCATGGAGACAGGCAAAAGAGAAGTCAGGAAGACAAAGGTAGGAAATTACCCTCTGAAGTCTCCAAAACAATATCACCACAGCAACAACCCAACAAGAATGGACCGCCCCCCCCCCCAAGCATCAGAAGGTTCCCAGGAAACGAACTTCAAAGTCTCAGACTGCAAGAAAGGAGACTCATCAACCTCTCCTCCCACCAAGACAAGTCACCAGTAATGAACTTCCGACTGTCCTGAAAATCTTCAAAAGTTGCAATCCTCATTCCCCAGGCTTCTGCAATGCCACACTTACCCCATCCCAAACAGAAGAGGCTTTGTCAAGATCTCCAAAGGTGCCATCTGCAGGGGCTGCTCACGTCGTAGGGGAGGGGCTGGAACTCAGAGTGTGATACTCATGGACTGACCCTCTTCCTCCTTCTCCTTGCTTTCAGGTCTAGAAAGGTGGGCCTCAGTGCACAGTGGTTCTACCTATAAGAGTAGACATAGGAAGAAAATGGGTTTCTGCATATATCTAGAAATCACATGGTCACCTTCAGAAATATGAATAACAGAAAAACACCTCACTTCTTGTGGATTCTCAATACTTTAGTATTTAGTACTAAATTTATATTTGAATATGCAAGTAGTGTTTTAATAGTCAAAGGCACTTACCAAGCCCTTGTGCCCTGGGGGCTTTGCGGAAAGCACCTTGGCAGTGGTCACTACTGCCCACCCAAATCTCATGATTTATGAAAACATCAGTGCATATGATTCTGAAGTCCTGAATGAGGCTCTTCAGTTCAGGACAAGGTCTCCCATGTCCACACAAACCATCAAATGAGTAACACTCTCCAAAAGTGATACTCTCTTTCCCCAAATGAAAGCCACGCCAATACTTGTTTTCAAGCACCTGGGGTGGCTCTGCTGCAATACACCTGTGCAACTCCACCTCCTTGTCTAAACTCTCATAAAAGCATCAGCTAGAACAAAATAGCACCACTGGCCACAGTAGACAGGCCAGACCAGGTCCAGCTCCACAATCTGTCTTCTGTGAAAATAACCGCCCACTTGAGGCCCATTCACTACTCAAAATGCAAACCAAGTCTGGCTCCTTGGGCAGAGCAGCAAATGACTTTAGCAAAGCCCCCCAAAAGCAATCCAAGCCTCTGGCCAGTTCACCATCTCTTCCCATCTCCAATTCACCCCTTTCAATATATTTGCTAAATAAGCATAAATGATACCATGTATTTACCAGGACCTTTCCACTGGATGAACCTGAGGAAGATAAAGGGCTCAGGGTTGGGCCACTCCAATAAGGCTCCATTCCTTCTTCAGGAACTACTGAGCAGTCAACTTCCTCAGCCCTCTGCTTTTATCTCCCCTTCTTGGCTGCAAGTGTCAATCACAGTACTCAACAGTGGAATCTTTCCCAGTCTCTGGCAAGTTTAGAATCTGTACTCATTTCATTCCTACCTCTAAAGGTAAGAGAGGAAGAAAAAGCAGGAGGGAGGGAGGGAGGGAGGGAGGGAGGGAAGGAAGGAGAAACAGAGGAAAAGAAGGAAGAAGAAAGAAAGAGAGAAAGAAAGAGAGAAAGAAAGAAAGAAAAGAAAAGAAGAACCAAGCAATGAGATGCTCAAGGAGGGAAGATGATCTGCAGAAAGAACAACAACAACAACAAAAATGTCTAGGAAGGTAAGCTAAAAGTTGGAAGGAAAAAAATACAAGACTAGTTTCTCACCAGTCAACTATGAAAATATAGTGACCCTGGTAACCCCACTCACACTAAGGAAGAGAGAGCAAATGGGGAGGGTAGTTTTTGTTTTACCCTATTACAGTAACTTTTTGTTAGAGTCTGTAAACAAGTCTGGATGGCGCTTGGCAAAATGCCAGAGGGAGTGGTTTGTGAAGTAACACCAGGGAGCCATTAAGTGTGGAGATTTCTTATTGGTTGACTGATGTATCTAGTTTATGCTAATTAAGATAAGCTGTGTGGAATGTATAAATACTGCTCCTGTCCTACAATAAACGGCTCCCACTCCTGCTGTATCAATCTACACAAGTTGCACGTCACCCCCTGGTTATTTTGCTGCAGCTGGTGAGGTTGGAAGGACAAGAAAGAACAGGGGGCAAAAAACAATGTAGTACAATTTATTAAGTGCCTACTATGTGCCAAATCACATGATAGGTGTCCTCCATGAATATTCATAGTGAAAAATCTCACAACAGCCCCCACAAGCAGTTTTCAGTATTTCCATCTCTCATCTTCAGAGAGCTTAGGGAACTTTCTTGAGGCTACAAAGATAAATAAAGGCAGCAGAGCAAGAATTCTGGCCTTTCTGACTCTAGCATTCTTGATCTTATACTGTCACTTTCTCAGAAAGAAGTTGTTCTAAGAAAACTTTCAAATGCTTAGGCTCATGCATTAAATATGAACCAAAATGAAATGTTCTTCCCCAGTCATTACAGCAAATTTGTTCTGCTCCTGTACAAGGTAAATGTGTATTGTCAAGTGGGTTGAATGCACCCACAATTCACATTAAATTACCAGTAAGTCTCATGCATATTCTAGTTAGATGTTTCTAAAACAATTTCACAGGGTGTGCCCATGTGAATACACAAAACCCACTGTGGAACAATACAGTCCAAGGTGTATGATGCTCACAAACAGAAGGTATGTATGTTTTAATAAAAGTGAGAAACCATCTATGTCAAGACACAACGAGAAATACATAATATCTTCCTCCTTGCAGCTAAGGGACTCAGCTGCTGATTTTTGAAGGGTGTTTTAAAATCTTCTTTGACAGCATTCCACCAGGAATAGTTTTTTTTTTAATTCATACAAACTCAGCTGGGTTTTTTGCTTCAGTTAAGATACAAACAAACAACAAAGTTGGTTCTTCCAAAACACCAATAATATTGATAACACACTAACATGACTGATCAAGAAGAGATACCCAACTGAGGATGTAGCCCTGTGGTAGAGCACCCGCCTAGCAATGTATAGGCCCTGGTATGATCCCTGACATCATAACAGAACAGGCACAAATAATGCCAGGAAGATAAAGGAAACGATTCCACAAATGCTATGGTGTTTAAAAATATTATGAGGATATTATGCACAACTTTAAATCAATCAATTTTAAACTTGACATGAACTGGAGAAATGCCTGTAAAAATTAGTTACTACAAAATAATTTTAGTGGTTCTACATCTATTAAATAAACACAATCTTTGAGTTAAAGTTAAAAAAAAAAAAATCCAGAACTAAACTGGGTCACTTACTGAGAGGGGAGTGGGGACTAAGTGAAAAAACAATCAGTAAGTGTAGCTTTCTCCTACACCTATACCAGTATACAGCAGAATTAGCCCCAATTTCAGATGCATCTTCTAACAGTCCCAAGTAATAATATCTAAAAATCTTTCATCTATGAATCATGTATTCCCCTTTCTCTAGCTAAGGATTACTGTTCCATAAAACTCCATCTATTAGTCAGTTTCAGCAGCTGGATCACAAGGTCATATCTGCTTGTCTTTCCTGTTGAGTAAGTGGCTAAGGGTTCCCTGGGGGTGAGAGAGTAAGCCACCAACTGCCTGTTAGCCTCAAGCTCACATCTACCTGCCCAGTCCTTCCTAGATGAGCTAGAACTTGGGCTCTAGCAGGTGTGACAGCACTGGATTATTCACCTGTTGTTCTGCCTGAGTCAGGTCTAGTATGGTTTAAGAATAAATTTTGTTATGAATGTTGTCTTTAATTTTAAAGACGCCAGAAAGTCACTTCAAGCTGTGTCCTGACAAGTAACATTCAAGTAGAGGTTTGCTAAGAAAGCCAGTCTATACCACTCTGAAATTAGGAAAACGATAAAATCAGCTACTAACCTCCTCCTCATTGGACTTGCCCTAGAACTGGAAGAGAAATCTTTATCAACTAAATATTTGGTTTGCTATAAATGTAAGACCTAGACATTTCTTCACCTTTGTTTCTTGCCCTAGAAGTAAGGCAGTTCTCTAAAACAAACTTTATGAAAGATTCGCTTATCAGAAACAGAACTGAAGCTCTAACTGGGGCTCCTGCTTACTAAGTGGTTGATTAGACACGAAATAAAGGAAACAGGTAGCAGCCCAAAAACCTCTATCAAACTCGGTGCAATGAGCAAACGCCACACACACCCCAAAGGAAAAGCCCACTGATGCCTGGAAATAAAACCTAAAGAAGGTTTGTGAGAAACTTTATTTGGGTCAAGTTTATCCTTTGCGGGGACATAGTCACCTGTAATGATCCAACCCCAGTGCCTGCCTCCTCCCATACTTCCTCTCAGCACCCCACCCAAAACTGACTTGGGCAACCAAGCTGAAGATAAACCAGCTGCCCCAGAAAAACAGACATTTTCAAAAAAAAAAAAAAAAAAGTTCCAGATAAAGCAAACACCTCCACAGCCAGGAGACCTTAAGTCGGACTTTTTCAAATGCAAATCAATGAGAAACCAAAGCTTCCCTGCCTCACTCCAGAAAGCCCCCCCGGCCCCAGGTGCTGGTCCTCAGCCCTCCAATCCCAAGCCCCTCGGGGGGTGGGTGGGTATTGACAACGACATTGACCTGCAATTACTCTAGCGCAGCGGAACAGCCCAGGGTAGGACGCATCTTTAGTGGGTGACTGGATCCCTCAACCTCCTTCCCGACCTCGAATCCCAAACGGGTGATCCTGGCTTTCAGAAGGCAAGGGGGACCGATGAAGCTCTCTCTTTCAAAGTCCCTTTACTACAGAGCCAGAATCAACACCGCGGCGGCGCCCGCAGCTCCCCGGCCACGCGCAGCGCCTGGGGGCGCAGCCTGGAGACGCGGCTCCCACCCCGCGCTCCGCGGCGCTCAGGTTCCCAGCCGCAGGTCACAGCTCGCAGCTCCCGCCTACCCACCCTCCGGCAGGTCCCCACGCCGCCGCTTCCCCGAACATCCAACCCCGGGGATCGCCGGTGGAAAGAATCGATTTTAAAACTGAAGCTCACCCCTGCTCAGCGAGGCGCACATGTCTTTCCAGTCTGGCTTCACGTCTCTCAAACTTCCAGTAACAGAAATGAGGAAGCAGCAGCCTTCCCCGGCTGGCTGGCTGGCGGAGGGAGTGGGTGTAACTTGTGAAGTTTCGTGCTGTGATGAATCTGGTCATTTGGGTGTGTTGGAGCGGGCCGGTCGCTCCTCCCTCCCTCCTCCCACCCTCACCTCCTTCCTCTCCGCCTCCTTCTCCAATCCAATTCTCCCCTTTAGCGTTCCCAAAGCCACGAACTCCGGGTGGCTGTCACTCAAGAGTCCCAGCGCCCAGCTCACAGCATCCTTGGGGGGGATTTACTTCTAACAGGTCTTAACCATTTTATGGTGAACTTGGTCATCGCGCGCAAAGCAGAAGTTCTGTCAGGTTTGATTTGTTGTTTGGTCTTTGTTTTCAGATTTGGGGGGCAGAGGTGCTTTTCTCCAGTACATGGCAAAGAAAGAAAAAATAA